GTCGTGCCAACTTCACGGACACAATTATTGATTATTTCGGAGCTACGTGAACACGGCCGTGGTAATGCTGAGACGCGCGGCAACTCACTCACGCACACTAGTAGACGCGTGGCTCACGAACGTGCGTCCGTTTAAAAAGCGATGTGGATTCGCTAATTTTTAAATAATTACAACTACTTTGTGAGGCGTGACTCGAAAAAATGGTTCGGGACTTTTCGACTCAGTTTTTCATGAGAAATATCACTATATAAATGGTGGGCGCGAATTAGTATACACCCTGTATACAGCTCATCCGGACTTGAAGGATATACAGGGTGTACCGCAATTCGTGACCGAAATTTTAATAACGTATTTCTGAGCAAAAAGTATGACGAAAATCCTAATACGAAAATGTGGAGGCTATAATACTTTTCAAATGGGAAGCATTTGTAATAGACAAATCAGGTAGTCTAAAGTTCGCGCGTTCAGGAACGGTACATTGCACAGTGATAAAGGCACTCTTGCATCTTTACCGATATACCTGTGAGACGAAGCGTCATAGTTAGATGTAACGACCGAGATGTACGTAGGGGGCGTAGGAGCGAGGAGAGGCGCTGTGTGTAATGTGCGTGTGTAGCGGCGAGCGAGCAGTTAAGGATGTACTTGTGTAAGAGGAGGACGTGCCCCCCCCTCGTGTCCTGACGAAGAATAAAGCATTAGTGTTGGCTAAAAGGCTGTATCGTTCCTTCAGAGGCTGTGGAAACCCCTGTACATCCTTACAGTTTCAGAAGTGGGATCGAACCGAACGGGAGAGTACGAAGAACGTGTCGGAATTAGTCTCATTAGTCTCATCGTCGCGTCGGTGGCCATCTTGCCGTTGTTGGTTGCACCGGGCACGAAAAACAAAAGGGGGCGACGTCACAAGAAGAGCGTGTCGTGCCTCGTCGAGAAGTACACTGCCTCGCGGATAACGCTGTGTGGTGCGTTACAGAAGTCGTGAGCAGGGATTGGTGAGCAGGAACTAACCGGCAATGGATCCGAAGAAAATCTCGGTCGCGCAGTTTCGGGCCGAGTTAAAGAAGCGAGGTCTACCGATCGGTGGAACGAAGGCAGATTTTATCGCTCGATTGGACAAAGACGACCCAAGTGGCGGATGGGTGAACGAAATGTACATCGACGTTCCGGAGACCAGCCTGGCGGAGGCCGCGCGGGCGGAGGTCGCGCAAGCGGAGGCCGCGCTGACGGAGGCCGCGCTGACGGAGGCCGCGCTGACGGAGGCCGCGCAGGCGGAGGCCGCGCTGACGGAGGCCGCGCTGGCGGAGGCCGCGCTGACAAAGGCCGCGCTGACGGAGGCCGCGCTGACGGACGACGGGGTGGAGAACGCCGACGATGAAGGAAACGACGAGGAAAGGTCGAGGAGTCTACGTATACAAGGTAGGATAACGCATTCCGGAAGCGGCCGACGATGTATAGAGGCTAGTCAAAGAAATGACGATCTAGATATCGCGCAGTTCGAGAATCGATATCGTGACATGCAACTAGAGTTCGAGAACGAATTGCTAAGACGAGAGATCGATATCACTAGACGAAAGAACGAGCAACTGCGACGATCTACACCGCCGCCAATGGAGGAAATACCCAGAAGAGAAAACATCAGCGCCATGTTAGAGCTAGTAGAATTTTTTGACGGAACTGCAGGCATGTTTAGAAGATGGGAACAGCAAATCAGGCAACTGTGTGTCGCTTATCGACTTGACGACGATCGCGCAAAATTACTCGTTGGCAACAAATTAAAAGGAAAGGCGAAAAGTTGGTTTCAGACGGAAAATACAATCGCCATGAGTCTCGACAAAATAATGGACGGTTTTAGGATAATGTACGACCATTGCCCGTTACGTGTGACGCTGAGAAAAAAATTTGAGGCAAGAGAATGGAAACAGTCCGAAAGCTTCGCGGATTATTTCCATGATAAGGTAACATTGGCAAAAGACGTCCCTATCGAAGAGGAAGATTTAGTCGACTATTTAGTCGATGGTATCCCGAACGATTATTTACAAGATCTGGCAAGGATGAAGGAATTCCAGAAGAAGGAAGAGATGCTGAGAGTATTCGAAAAGGTATCCCTACGATCAACAGCAAGAAACCATCTGAGACGCGATCCACGGCCGACGGGCAAGAACGACACCAAGTCGGCCGATTCACAACAAGGCAACGATAAGAAGGAAGAAAAGCGGGCGAAAAATGACGAAGAAAAACCTAGGAGTCCCCGCTGTTATAACTGCAACAAGTTGGGGCATCTGGCCGCTGACTGCCGACAACCAGAACGAGAGAAAGGGTCATGTTTCCATTGTGGCGAGATGGGCCATCTAGTCAAGGACTGTCCAGTAAAGGCAACGACGTCAACGCAGGTTGCAACGGTCGACGAGGCGGAGGATCAAATCTGCTCGATCTCAGACGGCGTAGAAGAGGAAGAAACAATATTTAGAGACATTGACTATGAAGTAAGCTACCCGTATAATAATCGGAAAATTCAATTAAGCACACTGATGGATACCGGCAGTAAGGTTAGTTTTATAAAAGAAAGCTTCGTTCCGGAAGAAGCTGTCGAGATAATCGATAGATCTTCAAGGCGTTATCACGGTATAAACCACTCCCCGTTGCATGTACTAGGGCGCGTGCGACTAAACATTACGATTGATAACGAAACGAAAATTGATTTACCTGTACTTGTCGTTCCGGACACGACTATGGCAAATCCAGTTGTGTTGGGCCGTGATACGCTGAAGACCTTCGGTCTGGGGTTGAGGAAATTAGAAGCTCAAGCGATATACGATATTCTGAATATAGAAACTAACGATACGCGTGATTTCATTTCAGATTCCCTTAGAATAAACGCCGAAACACCTCATGATGTACAGTCGAACCTGCGGAAACTTTTTGTGCTGGACTATCTTGAGCCCGAGAGGCCGAATGCTCCGAGGGTAGATATAGAATTAAAATTGACCTTGACTGATGAGAAACCATTTCATTTTAGTCCACGTAGATTGTCTGTCCTAGAAAAAGATAAGTTAAAGAAAATGCTAGATCACCTCCTTGAAAGGAAAATAATTCAGCCTAGTCGGTCCGAATTCGCATCCCCGATCATATTGGTAAAGAAAAAAAATGGTGAGCTTCGGCTCTGCATTGATTATCGCGTACTCAATAAAGTTTTGCATCGGGACAATTACCCCTTACCCTTGATTGAAGATCAAATTGACGCACTTAGAGACAAAAATATTTCAGTATTCTCGATCTGAAGGACGGGTTTTTCCATATACGAATGGCTGACGAATCCGTAAAATATACAGCGTTTACCACGCCTTTCGGGGTATTCGAGTACTTGCGAATGCCTTTCGGACTCAAAGTGGGACCAGCGAGGTTCCAAAGGTTTGTAAACGAGGCCCTGGCCGACCTAATTAAATCAGGCGATATTGTTGTGTATATGGACGATGTATTGGTCGCTACCACCACCGCGGAATTCCACCTTAAAGTGTTGAAGCGATTATTCCAATGTCTAGTCGAAAACTTGTTGGAGCTCCGACTCGATAAATGTAGCTTTCTAAATACTGAGATAGATTTCTTGGGCTACCGTATTTCAGAAAATAGAGTCCAGCCCATTGAATCGGGAGTCGAATCAATTAATAAATATCCGATTCTGCGAAACGTGAAAAGCCTACAGTGCTTCCTCGGAATGGCTTCATATTTTAGAAAATTCATCGAGGGTTTCTCTGTTATCGCGAAACCGCTTCACGAATTACTCCGTAAGAATGTGGAATTCAGCTTCGGAGAGGAACAGTTAAAAGCCTTTCAAACATTGCAGCAAAAATTGCAAGAGGCACCTGTATTAAGTATCTATAGTCCTCGTGACGAGACGGAGCTCCACACGGACGCCAGTTCGCACGGGTTTGGCGCCGTACTCATACAAAGAAAAGGAGACATGGGGTTCCATCCAGTTATGTATTTCTCAAAAAGGACGACCGATACTGAAAGCCGATATCATAGCTTTGAGCTAGAAACACTTGCGATTATTTACGCATTGCGTCGTTTTCGTGTTTACCTGCACGGCCTTAGGTTTAAGATCGTCACGGATTGTGCGGCATTGAAAATGACTTTAAACAAGAAAGATGTCAACCCACGGATAGAAAGATGGGCTATTGAGCTCATGCAATACGATTACGTCTTAGAACATAGGGCCGGTGCAAAAATGCAGCATGTAGACGCGCTCAGTCGAGCTACGAACATTCTCATAGTCGAAGATAATCCCCTTGAATTAGAATTAGCCTTGAGTCAGAGTCGAGATCCCAAAATTCGAGAGTTGCGTGAGAAGCTTGAGCAGAAAGAAGACAAACAGTATGAGATGCGCAATGGACTTATATACCGGAAGAAGGACGGTGAATTAAGGTTTTACGTACCCGAGAAAATGGAAAATCATGTATTGCGAAAGTATCACGATGAGCTAGGTCATTTTAGTCTGGAAAAAACGCGTCACGCGATTGATAAAACTTACTGGTTTCCACAAATGCGCGACAAAATAAAGGAACATATCCGCAATTGCCTTAAGTGCATCGCCTTTTCACCGTGCTCAGGGAAGTCCGAAGGATTTCTGCATTGTATACCCAAGGGCAATATACCGTTTCAGACATACCACGTAGACCATTTAGGACCTATAGATAGGAAACACCTTATAAAGCAACACATTCTAGTCGTTGTCGACGCCTTTACTAAGTTTACAAAATTATACGCGACGAGATCGACAACCTCGAAAGAATCCATGGAATGTCTGAGACAGCATTTTGCAAATTACAGTCGTCCTCTGGTAATAGTAACTGATAGAGGCACTAGTTTTACATCAAGCGAGTTCAAGGAGTTTCTCGGAGATAATAATATTAAACATGTGCTTATAGCCACGGGCTCCCCAAAAGCGAACGGGCAAGTCGAACGCGTTAACCGTGTGTTAGGTCCGATTCTTGCTAAGACGGTTGATAATAATGTCGGAAGGTATTGGTACAAGGTACTAACTGAGGCAGAATTTGCGATTAACAATACGATAAACAAATCCACTGGCGATACCCCAAGTCGACTGTTGTTCGGGATCGACCAGCGAAGCTCTAACGTTGACGGGATTAAGGACTTTTTGGAAGATAGCGTTTCTTCAGATGATCGCGATCTTGCAGCGACTCGCGCTAGGGCCGAAAGGTCTATTCTGAAAAATCAGGAATATAATCGACATTATTTTGACCAGACCAGGAAGGAAGCACGTAAATATCGAGAAGGAGATTATGTAGAAATCAGAAACTTTGACAATACTCCGGGCGCTCCAAGAAAACTTGTTCCCGAGTTTAAAGGACCTTATGAAATAACCCGAGTTCTCAGGAATGATAGATACATTGTTAGAGACGTCGAGAACTCCCAATTGTCACAACGTCCTTACGAAGGAACGTGGGAAGCTTGCAATATTAGACCCTGGCATGATTAATCCTCTCATTTGCATGATTCCGCTGGTTACTTATTATTTTACTACTACTGATTATTAATTATTTTACTACTACTGATTACTTATTACTTAATATTACTTATTACTTATTATTACTTATTAATTGTTAGTACTGATAGATAAGCCATATTTCGGAGCATTGTAACCCGTTTATTTATAGACCTCGACCGTGTCCGGGGACGGACAAATTGTCAGGAAGGGCCGAATTGTGAGACGAAGCGTCATAGTTAGATGTAACGACCGAGATGTACGTAGGGGGCGTAGGAGCGAGGAGAGGCGCTGTGTGTAATGTGCGTGTGTAGCGGCGAGCGAGCAGTTAAGGATGTACTTGTGTAAGAGGAGGACGTGCCCCCCCTCCTGACGAAGAATAAAGCATTAGTGTTGGCTAAAAGGCTGTATCGTTCCTTCAGAGGCTGTGGAAACCCCTGTACATCCTTACATACCTAAAAAAATTTAAGTAATTATATGTACAATGATGCTGATGTTATTGATTGAGTCATATTTAAACATGAAAAAATAAAAAAATAATAAATTAAAAATAATAAATATGAGAAGTTGTCCACATGAGAAGTTGTCAATTTATGAAATGTCACAGACAATTTATATGGTAAAAATATTTTCTTCAATATCGATTTATATTGAGGTTATTTTTTTAATATGTAGATTGTTACATCCGGGCAATCGCGAGGATGTACGGTCGATCTCGAGGAGTTGTGGGTTGAACGAAATAAGGAGACGTTAGTTCTGATCCCTTCAAGAAACAGTTTTAATGTGCCGAAAGGCTAACCTTACGTCGACTTCTTCCGAAGGACAAGTACAATGTAGATACATAGAAAATATAGTGTCGAGCAAAGTAAGCGAAGGAAGCGGACCGGACATAGAACGGGGCGCTGTCCTGCGGGCACGAGACGGAACTCAGATAACCCGCGGTTTATATAAATTCAGCGAGTTCCTACACTCCCCCTCGAATCGTGCCTGGTATTTTCCTCTGATGTTACTGGCAATAGGAAACAGCGCGCATCCCGGCCATCCTGAGGCAATCCAAGTGCTTCTTCCTAGGCAGACCCTTCGTCAGCATGTCAGCAACCATGTCCGTCGTAGGAACGGACTTAATCAGCAGGTTTTCGTTGCGAAGGGCGTCCCGAACATAGTGGTATTTGATGTCGATGTGCTTACTACGCTGATGAAAAACAGGATTCTCTGCTAGCTTCAAGGCCCCGAGATTGTCTCCGTAGACCGTGACGTCAGCCAGATGGTCGAATCCAAGTTCTCCCAAGAAGCGCCGCAAGTAGACGGCCTCCTTGGTGCATTCTGTGAGTGCCATATATTCGGCCTCACAGGTGGACAAAGCAAACGTCTTCTGTTTCTTAGCGTCCCAAGAAATAGCGCATCCGCTGAGAGCGAACAGGAAACCGGAGTAAGAGCGTCGATCCAAACGACAGCTACCCCAGTCCGAGTCGGTGTATCCCACAAGAGGTCTGGAGTCCGGGTGGTAAGCAAGGCCAACATTCATGGTCCCCTTAAGATACCTTAAGACTCTCTTTGCAGCTTTCCAGTGTGACTCATCAAAACAATTGTTGAACTGCCCGAGATAACTTGTAGAAAAAGCTATATCTGGTCTGGTAGACGACGCGATATAAGTGAGACCTCCCACGAGTTCTCGGTAGGGAAAATTCTCTCCGTAGTCCGAAGACTCAACTCTTCCCTTCTCCAATTTTACGTCGGGGTCCAAAGGCATGCTGACTGGGTTGCAGTCACTCATTCCAAATCGTTTGAGTAACTCGCAGATGTAACCCTTCTGGCTTAGCGTGATGGACTCTCCCTCGCGACTAAATTCGATTCCGAGACATTGACGAACCTCGCCGAGCTTCCTTATGGTGAACTGCCGTGAAAGGAAGTTGGAGATGCGATCGATTTCCCCTTGATTTCGTGACGCGATGAGCACATCGTCAACGTAAACTGCAATTAAAACGATGTTCTCTCCCTTCCCAATGCGGTACAGACAGGCGTCTGCGTTGGTGGGGATGGCTCCACATTCCTTCAGGGTCTTATCGAACCTTAGATACCAGCTCCGCCCGGCCTGTCGCAATCCATATAGCGCCCTTCTAAGTAGGCAAACTTTATTTCCGGAACTCAAGTCAACGAGCATCTTCTCTGCCTTCACTCGAATGACGTCGTCCCCTTCCGAATCCAAGAGATCCTTCAGTAGCGTGGTCATACCTTTTGGAGGTTCCATGAGTATGCTCTCTTCCAAGTATCCGTTAAGATATGCCGTGGCAACATCCAGTTGGTGTATCTTCATACCGAAGTGCGTCGCTAAGCTGATCATCATTCGAATCGAGGTCATTCTTGCGACGGGAGCAAAAGTTTCGTTGAAGTGTACACCTGGCTTCTGAGTAAACCCCTGAGCTACCAGCCGAGTCTTCCGTCGCTGAAGTGATCCGTCAGAGTTAACCTTGTTTCTGAGTACCATTCGACTTCCGATGACCGTTTGCCCATCGACTCGATCGACTAACTTCCAGGTCTCGTTCTTGATAATGGACCTTAGTTCTTCGACCATGGCTGCCCGCCACTCGTTAGCCTCCGGACAGGTCATCGCCTCCCTCATCGGAACTTCCGACAAGTTTGCTGCGTATCCTTCTAAGAATGACGCTTGTCGATCGTGATAATGGAACTCCTTTCGAGGTCTCGCCCTTTCTCCGGTTCTGACGATTCTTGGTCGTCCAGGTGCTCTTCGGCGTTCCCCGCCGTCAAGTGTATCCCGGGGTGGATCTTCTTGATCGTCTTGAGGTTCTTCCTCGTTGTCCCGAGACTCTGTATCATCGTTTTCGTGGACTCGTTCTGGGTACTCATCAGGCATCTCCGTAGTGTGCTCTGTATTGGCCTCATCTGGATGATCGACCGAAGTGTTGGATGGTTCCAATACAATGTCAACTGAGTCGTATTGGGAATCCTGAGATCTTCTTCGCTGGTTATTTTCAGGTTCCGGGCAAAAATTTTCAAATGTCTCCTCTTTCGGCGGTTCCGTGCGTAGAAACTTCACGTCTCTCGAGACGATGATCCTAGCCTCGCTCGGGATCCATACTCTATAGCCCTTCGATGTGTCCGAATATCCAACGAGTGTTCCCGCAATGCTGCGTGCATCGAACTTCCCGATACGGGTCCGTTGCGTAATACGAGCGCCCGCTGCCCGAAATCCCTGAAGTGACTCACGTCGGGAACCTTTCCAGACAGCGCTTCGAACGGAGTCCTTCCGTCCAGTGACCTTGACGGACATCGGTTGCGTATATAATTTGCCGTATTAACGGCTTCCGCCCAAAAACGTGTGGGAAGACCGGATTGCAGGAGAAAACATCGGGCCATCTCGACTAGAGTACGGTTCCGTCTCTCGGCTACGCCATTCTGCTGGGGGCAGTACGGAACTGTTAATCTCCTGATTATTCCGCGCTCCCTCAGGAAATCATCAATGTCCGTGTTTACAAATTCCCTTCCATTGTCTGATTGGATGGCCTTGACTTTCTTGCCCGTCTGTTTCTCCATCATAGCGACGAAATCCTGGAGCGCCTGAAAAACATCGGATTTATGTTTCAGAAAGTAGACCTGTCCCCATCTGGAATTGTCGTCGATGAACTGCAAAATATACTTAGCCCCTCCGATGGAAGCAGTCTTCATCGGTCCGCACACGTCTGTATGTATTAGGTCCAAAATTTCTGTCGACCTGTCAGACTTTACCGGGAACGGACTTCTCGCCATCTTGCCCTCCAAGCAAATTCCGCAGGCACCGCTCGAGGAGTTTTCCAGCTTCGCTCCTTGTACACGGCCCTTCTGAATGGCTTCCTGAAGATCCCGCGTATTCAGTTGACCGAATCTTCGATGCCAGTCTGCCTCCAGTTGGTTTGTATCGTTGGTGAGTGTGCCTTCGGCGACGGCTGCCTCGCTGATCGTTTCCTTTACGACGTACAGGCCGTTTTCTTTATTCGCGATCAGCCTTACGTTACCGTCCTGATCCAGTACGAGTCCTCTGTCCTTGTCGAATGCAACGTTAAAACCGTGTTCCGTGATCCTGGAGACCGAGAGAAGGTTTATGCGTAGATCTGGAACTAACTGAGTGTCCTCGAGGTGGATGGATCTCGACTTTCCGCAGACAGCGATATTGAGGCGGGCCGTGCCCTGTCCTTTAATTTGTGTCGAATCCTTGTTGGCGAGACTCAGCTTTCCGTCCTTGATGCGCATATCCGAGTTGAATCTGTGTGCCTCGTGGCAAAAATGTGACGTTGCCCCGCTATCCAGGCACCATCTACCCGTTCCGGTTATTCCAGCCAGAAAAGCCTCAGATGTGAGCATCGTTGTATCTGTCGCGTCCGATGGGGTTTGAGCTTTCTGCTTTGGATCCTTACAGTCGGCGGCCTTGTGTCCGACTGTCTTGCATTTGTGACACTTATACTTGAAGGTGTGACCGCCATCATTTTCGGTTGTGTCTCGAGTCTTCTTTCTCGGTTTCTTGTGAAACTTCTTCGCGTACATTGCATTTGGAACGTGGCTGCTCGTGACGTCCTTTCTTGCGTCCGCCTCCTCTGTAATCTTTACGCGAAGTATATCGAGGGCTGGTAGTGCGTCGCGAGCCTCGATCGCACAGCGAAAGTTTTCGAATTCACTCGGGAGACTTATCAGCAACAGCGTAGAGAGTAGATCTCCATCGATCTCGACTCCTATCTCGTTTATTTTATCTACGGTATCAAAAAAATGATTAAGGTGTGTGCGAACGTCGCCGTTACCTGTCATTTTCAACGTAGTCAGCTGCCTCAGGAGGGCTGCCTTTCGTGCTGGCCCCTTCGACTGGTACGTGTCCCGTAGTTTCTGCCACACTTCCCGGGATGTGACGCATCCCTTGATCTGTTTCAGCTCGGTCGAGCTAATGGACAGGATGATATCCGAGCGTGCCTTAGCGTCGTTCTGTTCCCACGTTTTTGCCGCGTTTTCCGATGCTACGTTGCCGGTCACTGCTTCCGGCTTCACGTTAGTACCGTTTACATACTGCCATAAGTAGTTTTTAACCAGCAGAGCCTCCATGAACATCTTCCATGTGTCGAAGTTTTCACTCTGTTCAAGGACTCGAATCTCGCCACTTGAGCCATTTTCCTTCGATGTCTGTCGACGATTATTTCTTGGACACTTAATGGCGTCGTGTGTCGGGGAGAGAACGCAGTATGAGATCCTTAATGCGCGGTGTAATTCTTAGCGGTCCGTTCTGGGCCCATAACCTGTTACATCCGGGCAATCGCGAGGATGTACAGTCGATCTCGAGGAGTTGTGGGTTGAACGAAATAAGGAGACGTTAGTTCTGATCCCTTCAAGAAACAGTTTTAATGTGCCGAAAGGCTAACCTTACGTCGACTTCTTCCGAAGGACAAGTACAATGTAGATACATAGAAAATATAGTGTCGAGCAAAGTAAGCGAAGGAAGCGGACCGGACATAAAACGGGGCGCTGTCCTGCGGGCACGAGACGGAACTCAGATAACCCGCGGTTTATATAAATTCAGCGAGTTCCTACATAGATAAGATAGATTTCATATTTTATTCAATTTGGCAATGCCTAATGGAAACTATAATGTTGATACAAACGCGAAATTTATTAGGAAATCTAGTAACAGTTTTTTTTCTATTGAATATTATAGTTCTGTTGTGCTACTATTAATACTATGAGATATTGTATTTATATAATAACGTTTATTTTAAATTTGTTACAACATATGTTCAAAATGCCCCCCGCCCAATTCTACACAATTCTATAGTATCTCGCAGTAGTACAATTAATAGTAGTACAATAAAAATATAATAATCAATAGAAAAAAGTTTGTTACTAGATTTGTTAATAAATTTCGCGTTTGTATCAACATAGTTTCCATTAGGCATTGCCGAATTGAATAAAATGTGAAATCTATCTTATCTACATATTAAAAAAATAACCTCAATATAAATCGATATTGAAGAAAATATTTTTACCATATAAATTGTCTGACATTTCATAAGTTGACAACTTCTCATGTGGACAACTTCTCATATTTATTATTTTTAATTTATTTATTTTTATTTTTTCATGTTTAAATATGACTCAATCAATAACATCAGCATCATTGTACATATAATTACTTAAATTTTTTTAGGTATATCGGCAAAGATGCAAGAGTACCTTTATCACTGTGCAATGTACCGTCCCTGAACTTTAGATTACCTGATTTGTCTATTATAAATGCTTCCCACTTGAAAAGTATTATAGCCTCGACATTTTCGTATTAGGATTTTCGTCTTACATTTTGCTCAAAAATATGTTATTAAAATTTCGGTCACGAATTGCGGTACACCCTGTATACAGCTCATCCGGACCCCCCTGTTTTGAAGCCAGCTTCGGTTCCCTCACACTCCGTCCTAGATACGTTCGATATTATTTTGATGGAGGCTGGAGCGTGAATAGCGTTATGTCCTCCTTCTACGACCAAACTTCAGAATTGTTTGATGGAGCGTTAACATTTTACACGGACGGAACTAAATCATTAAACGAACTCGGACATGTGGGCTCGGGGATATACTCGCCCGAACTCGGATTCCATAAATCTATTAGACTTCCGGACCAGACTCTATCTTCTCTGCAGAGAAGACATGGGCTTTGGTTGCAGCCCTTGAGATTTCCCTCGAACAAAGTACCAACTTTACAAGTGTAGTTATATTTTCAGATTCTAGAAGCGTCCTAGATGCCATTCTCTCGCGTGACCCATTTTCGGGCAGCTACATCATCCACCTTATAAGGGAACTCATCTACAAAATACAGAGAGTTGGAATGGCGACCACGCTCGCTTGGATCCCATCCCATATCACAGGAAACGAGATAGCCGACAGTCTCGCCTCAACCGCTCGATCAGAAGTTCTTTCTACAGACTTCAGGATCCCACTCTCTGACTTTTATGCCTCGGCGCGTATCGCCATGCAAGAATCTACTCACTCCTTTATGATTGACAAGGCTAAATGTTGGGTTCGTTACCTCGGGAAGGTGATCGGAGAGTGATAGGAGACACAAGGATAATACGCGTAGTAAGACGAACTGTGTTTCTTTAATGAGAAGTCTGGTTCAAGGCCAGCAATACAAGACGTCTGAGCGTGACCGAGTGTGAATATAGACTGCCTGACTCACAGACTGCCGCGCCCTCGGTGCGGTGTGACGGTGACGCCGGGTGGCGTCGGTAACGATACCCAACATCTCCCTCCTTAGGAAGCTACCCCAGGGCATAGCGTTTGGCGGACGGGTCCATGATTAGTCTCCTCGGAGCCATCCGATTACGTGTGGGTCTAACCGGTGTCGTCTGGTTTACTGGGGAGTTCGGGCCCTGGATCTCTGAGGTCTGGTCTGCCGGAGTTGCGGCCGGATGCTGATCGATCTCCGCAGCAGGTGAAAGTTCTCTTGGAGGGGACCCCGGCGTGGGTGACTGAAGGAACATCCAGTCTTGGTTGGAGCCTGTAGGTGTGGTTGACGGGTCGGAGCCCCCTTTCCAAATGTGGTTGACGTGGCGGTCAATGATTCGTCCATCGTCGAGACGGATAGAGTAGCGGGTTTTAGACAGAACTCTATGAATGATGCCTTGTTCTTTTTTATCCTTTCGGGAAAGGACTACCACGCGGTCCCCCACTGTTAGATGTCGAGGACGGGCGCCGTGATGCTTCGAGAACTGTTCTGTCAGAGCCAGCTGTTTCTTGACAGAGGTGTCAGCTGGAACGGGTTCGAGAGTCTTGGATTTCGGGAGCCATTTAGTGAGCGGACAGTTCATGCGTGGACCGAACATGAGCTCAGCCGGAGACTTCCCCAAGGGTGACTCTGAGCAAGGCGTGTAACGATAACTATGCAAGAAATCGTGTAGCTGCCTTTTCCAATTAGTAGGGTCTTTGGCGATGGCCCTTTTAACCGTGTCCACCATCCTCTCGGCCTGGCCATTGGATTGAGGGTGGTTAACCGCTGCCAGCAGGTGAGAGGTCTGCATTTCCTTACAGAAATCGACGAACAATTTCGAGGTAAATTGCGTTCCATGGTCCGAGACTAGCACGTCTGGAGGACCGAACTTGGAGAAAAACTCGCGGCACAAATCGACTGTGCGAGCTGCGGCGATCGTGGGAGTGATCGCCACATCTATAAACTTAGAGTAGGCATCTACAAAAATGAGCAGGTATTGTCCATCGATTGGACCTGCGTAGTCGATATGCACCCTTTCCATTGGGCGAGATGGGAGAGGCCATGGTTCCAGTGGTGCTTTCGTTGGGAGCTTCTGATTCAGCGCGCACGAGTCGCACTGACGTACAAGGTCTTCTATGTCGTCCGACATCTTTGGCCAATAAACGTATTCTCGAGCTAGCTGTTTAGTTCTTCTGATGCCGGGGTGGCCTTTATGAAGAGCTGCTAGAATTGTAGGCTTGAGCGCCTCTGGAATGATCACTCTATCGCCGAAGAGTAGAGTATCGTCGATGATACTGAGATCTTCTGAGCGTCTTCTGAAGTGTTCCAGTGACTCCGAACTTTCCTTTATCTTCCAATCTTTTTGGATAGCTTGGAAGACCAAGCGCAGAAGAGGATCTTCCTTGGTAGCGTTTTTTAGTTTGTTATGGAGTTCTTTACCGAAAAAATCAATTGATAGATTTTTCACTTCGAGGATATCAGCTTCCACTGCTTGAATGCTGGCGACTTGTAGTTCCTCTGCGTTGTCACGGCGAAAATCGTCAATCAAGCGAGATAGGGCGTCTGCCTGGCCAAAGTCTTGAGTGCGTATGTATTCAATATCAAAGTCGTAACCCAATAGTCGCAGTGCCCAACGTTTAAGTCTGGCAGCTGTGGTGGCTTTGAGACCCTTAGTGTTTTCCGTTTGCAATAGAGCGACTAGAGGTTTATGATCGGTTTGGAGTATAAATTTCCTTCCCCAGATGAATTTACGAAATTGTTCGACAGCTGTGACGAGCGCCAAGGCCTCTTTTTCTAACTGGGAGTAATTCCTTTGGGCGTCAGTGAGGCTTTGTGCCATATGATAGACAGCACGCTCATTGCCGTTTGAGTCTCGTTGTATAAGGACGCCGCCGATTCCGGTGGCGCACGCGTCCGCTGCAACTATCAGCGTCTTCTCGGGGTCGTAGTGTTCCAGAAGAAGAGGGCTGAGCATGACCTTTTTGATTTGGTCGAATGCGAGATCATGAGACTGATTCCATGACCATTTGCAGTTTTTGCGCGTAAGATCTTCCAACGGATGTTTCAGTTGATGTAGATGGGGGATGAATTTACCATAATGGTTCACCATGCCTAAGAAACTCTGAACCTCTGCAACGGAGGTGGGTTGAGGCATGTTTGCGATGGCGGTAGTAGCGTCTGGATCGGGTGATATGCCCTGTGCGTTGATGATCAATCCCAGGTATTTGATTTCTTCCAGTGCGAAGCGGCATTTTTCGGCACTCAGTCTCCATCCTTGATCCTGTAGGCGTTGGAGAGTCTTCCTTAGGCGTTCGTCATGCTCCTGGCGAGTAGAACCTCTGACTATGACGTCATCGATGTAAGTATTCACTCCTTTAAGGCCAGCGAGCGTAGAATCTATAGCCTGTTGGAAATTTGCCGGTGCGGTTTTGATACCAAACGGAAGGCGTTTAAACCTATAAAGCCCCTTCGGTGTCGTGATAGTTGTGATATCACGATGTTCTTCGTCGATTTCAAGTTGAAAGAAAGCATCACTGAGGTCCAGCACGCTGAAAAAACAACTTCCGTTAAGTTTTGCCATGATGCTTTCGACAGTAGGGAAGGGATGCTTGTTGTCGTGTAGAGCCTGGTTGACACCTGTGGAATAATCCACGCATAGACGGAGTTTACCATTCCGTTTCTTCACGATGACGATAGGCGATGTCCATTTGGAGATTACCACAGGCTCGATAATGTCGTTTTCTTAGAGTCGTTGTAATTCTTCGGCAAGAAGGCTTTCTATGGCATAGAGGATCTGTCGACATGGAATCTGTCTCGGACGAGCGTCATCGGAAGTGAAAAACTTTACTTTGAAATTACGACACTTTCCCAATTCTTTGGAGAATAATACCGGGAAGCGTTTGAGGACATTCTCTAAATAAACGTTATGTTGCGATGTGACTTCGTGATTGTCACTGCTCGCGAGCCTAGATGGCTGTTCGCGGGTTAGATTTACGTTTGACGACTTTAGTGATGACTGCGAAGATGCACACTGTAAGTCTGACGCGGAGCTACTCGGACGTAGCTCGGCTAGCGGTACTGTCCACAAGTTGAGACTGTCTATAGCGTTGAGACCGAATAGGTTAACTCCGTTGCGCGACGCGACGTCAATATGTATTTTTCCTTCACGACCGAGTGCCTGGATCGTACACTTGAATCTACCGATTACCGGTTTGACTAGCGACGAGAGCTGGCGAACCGATGCGGATCCAATCCTTTTTACCGATTACCGTGACGTCTGAGCCGGTATCGTATTGTAGAGACACTGATTTGCCGAGCAAGAATACGTTCACGTAATGTCGTCTGCGTTTACCGACCGCGGAAAGTGATTGTGCTACGACACTTTTAGCTTTCGCGGAAGATTCGGGTTGTTCCTGAGAGGAGCCGTTTGAGTGACATACCTTTGCGATGTGGCCCTTGCCCGAACACTTGTGGCACACTGCTTCGCGGAACGGACACTTTGCTCGTGGATGAGCACCGCCACAGCCGTTGCACTTTTTAGTTGCGGAAGATGGCTGGGCTTTCGACGTGTCGGTTTCCGACGGAGACTTCCGTTTGGGCGCCACTTTGCCCTTATTTTTAGAATGCGCAACGTTTAACACTGCCACTTGAGAATGTTTTGTCGGGTTCTCTAGAGTTTTTAGTCCCGAAGCGACGTTAAGGTGAGCTTCGAGCTCAGCGACGACATCCTTGAGAGACGCGGCTTGATTCTTTTCGACGACGCGAAGCGCGATTCTCTTCAATTCGTCGTTATCTGCGGAAAAACAGAACGATTGTAACAGCAGAAGTATGTGGAGATTATCGTCAGTCAGATTGGAACGGTCGAAGTCGGCTGCGTGCCGGTTGATTCGATCTAGATGTTCCGTGATCGGCGTCGATCTATCGTAACGATAATTGAGAATCTCGATGCGACGGCGGGTGAGGGGAACCTTGTCGCGGAAGAGTTCCTTTAGCGTCGTAATGAGAACTTCTGTAGTCATAAACGACGGATCCGTAGGTGCGACGTGATCCACGAGCCTATCGAACTCCGCTTGCCCGAGTTTATCCAGGATAAGACGTGTTTGCATTTGGGTCGGCAAGCACGCTGCTTCCGTGACTACGGTGTACTCGTGGCGCAGCAGCCATTTCGTGAACGGCTTAGTTTCGTCGCCCGAGCCGTAGTTGTACTTCTCTACGCGCGCACTCAGATGGTTGAACGTTTCCGAGTGCGAAGATGCGCGGGATTGAGATGAGGCCTCGGAATCGTCTTTCTGTTTGTTCAGTTGAAGTTGCACGAGGCTTGAGATAGCCGCTGTGAGAGCCTCTAACTGCTTCGTCGCCTCGGCCATCTTGAGAGCGGAATCACTCACCGATTCTCTTTGTTTCGTACGAAGACAAAGTTACTGCTGCAGCGCCAGTTGTTGGGTTCGTTACCTCGGGAAGGTGATCGGAGAGTGATAGGAGACACAAGGATAATACGCGTAGTAAGACGAACTGTGTTTCTTTAATGAGAAGTCTGGTTCAAGGCCAGCAATACAAGACGTCTGAGCGTGACCGAGTGTGAATATAGACTGCCTGACTGACAGACTGCCGCGCCCTCTGTGCGGTGTGACGGTGACGCCGGGTGGCATCGGTAACGATACCCAACACTAAAGATAAAGGTACACTATACCATCAACACTTTCACTCACGTACTCCTAAACCTTGGTTCCAGAAGGTTAGACTCAAAAGAAAAGAAATTGTCATTCTAAATCGTATACGCAGTAATCATTACAATCTCAACTACAGCTTGGCACGCAAGAACATCGTTGCCACGACTGACTGATCATATAATCTTTTCATGCCCGCTCTACACTACTAAATTGAAACATCTTTTGAACTTTCTAAACTCCGTTTCTACCAAAGTCCCCTCCCCCAACGACATTTTTCCACTCATTAAAAAACCCTCCCCCAAACTGTGCCGACTTCTGCTTGCTGCATTCAAAGCTATGGACCTAAATATTTGAACTTTCTGACGGGGAGTCAGATGGCGCAATGCGCCACTTCCTCTCCACCCAACCATCTACAAACGGCATGTTACGCGGACTACTGGTTCGACATGGCCGTATCAGCTCCACTTCAAGGAGCTGGGAGCCAATAACAAAGAAGAAGTATAACCACAGTATAACCAGTATGCCCACTCTCTGGGCGTTTTTCAGCAAGGACACAGTGTAACACAGTGAATCGTTTCATCCTTGTTTAACATTGGCAAACAACAAGGATGTAATGATTCACAGTGTTACACTGTGTCACATTGTGTCCTTGCTGGAAAACGCCCTCTGTCGGCACCTTTGATCTGGGCGTTCTCAATTTTCCGCCATGTTTTTATTATATCCAACAGTGTATCAACGGCTAAAAGTGCCTGGGCCCTTTTCAGGATCGTATCTAGGAAAGGCGCATACGAACTGGCGTACATTATTTATTGTAAATAGAAATGGCCTATGAAAGAAAATGTTCTAATAAAAGTAATTAATGTAATTACTTTTATTAGAACTGCTCCAACGTATAAAAGTATTTACGTGTTATTCGTCAACACTGCGAATTTTTCTATGTCACACCGACTTTGCACTAACACACGTACAAAAATCTTGTGATTGGTTATAATAAAAACATGTCGGATGCGCAGTACGGATCGGCGAACGTGAAACAAAAGAGCGAGTGGGCATACTGGTTACACTGTGGTATAACTGTTGTTATCTGGGGGTCAATTTCTGAAACTTACGAAAATTACAAAAGTGAGTGAATATAGTATTTATAATTTCAATCTGTGAATTCGCTCACTTTTGTAATCTCCACAAGTTTCAGAGATACACAATCCATCTCCTCGTCGTGCTATGCTCTGTTGTTCTATGTATAGTCAAATAAGAAGAGATTGATCACGTATTCGAGAGACTTTCCGCTTTTAACTATTTTTTCAACTTTGTCTTTGAAAGTACCAACGAAATTTTCCGTCGCACCGTTCGTCGATGGATGGTGAGGAGAAGTGAAACTATGTTTTATCCCGTTTTGTTTAACGAAACTCTGAAATTCGTTACCGTGTTACAGTGTATTGAGTTCCGTTGTCCGTTACTAGATGTCTCGGTAGACCGAATCTATATGTTTTTTATACTCTTCAATTACTCTCGACTACCGTTTTTAAGATAAAAATTGTTTATAATTCAAATTTTTTTTCGTATTTTCGAACTTTTTATGTCAGTTTCTTTTAGATCTCGACGAGCGCTACAACTTTGGCCCTATGGACTTTTGCTCCATCTCTCACCGTTTGTAAGATAAACATTGTTTAAATCCGTAGGTACCGCCGGCCGGATGGTCGAAGGAACCACCGGCGTGCGAAATCACCCAGCAAACACAAACAGTTATATAATTGTAAGTTAAAATTTCCTACTCAACAATATAACTGTTATATAACACGTGTTATGTAACAGTTATATTGTTGAGTAGGAAATTTTAACTTACAGTTATGTAACTGTTACTTTGTGTTTGCTGGGCAACACGGCACGAGCGGACCGTGTGTCGCCGACTGCTCGTCCAACCGTTTTGGATCTATAAGAGGTGTGTTGCGATCGATCTCGATCTGACCCGAGGTACCGCCGCACAGTAGGACGAGAAGTTCATTTTATGATTAAAATTCGAGCCGTGCGCCAATTCTTAACGGATCTTTATTTTTTTTTTTTAATTTTTCAGGAATTGAATAAGCTATACAAATATCCTGCGCCAATTTTGATTTCGTTCTAAATTCAAAATGGCGGATCACATGAAGTGGGCATAAAATGCCAAAACTGTACGAATGCGAGTAAATTTGTAACAAACCGTGCATGTATTTACGAAAAAATATTATGTGTTGCATAGTCGATAATGACGAATCTGCAGTTTAAGTAAAAAAAGTGGTGGATCCAAAATGGCGGAAAACTTAATAAATAGATTTTGTAATATGGATGCTAACAAGTTCATTATATCTTACGTAAGATCCTTTACTAATATTAAGATATTCATCATGAAGAGATTTTTTTAACTGTAGGTACGTAAATATATCTTTTAATTTTTTAGATTTTTAGATTTTTATTTTTTTAAATTTATTTAAAAGAATCAACAAATTAACAATCAATGAAATAAAAGAGCTAAGAGCCTTGACTAGGTGTCACAATAATAAAATTCACATATATTTAAAACATAAAAATACAAAAAAAAATACAGGCTTCACCTCGTTAAAAATAGCCCTACCCACCCTATGTCAGAGGTGTGGAGTGGATCTCGCTTCACGTGGAAAGTTGCAAACCCATGTGGAACAGTACAACGGCAGAAGTACATGCGTGGAGACAGTATGTTTCGCATGACAGATTTTCTAACACTAAAAGTTGTCAACTTTAACAATTAATATCTCGCTTCGCAGGGCAGTGCGACGATTTTGTCTGAGGAAAAAGTTGTTCCTCTTTAAAAAACGCGTCGAATGAGACCAAATTGATTGATTTTGGAGGTGGAGCAGCTATACTGAAGAATTACCATATATTTATTATTTGTATCCTTTCTCAGCCTGTATCTCCGAAACTATTAGAGTCCGGCCCTTATATATATATACAGGGTGGTGTACCTGGCGATAAATATTTTAATGACAAGTACTTTGTAACATTTTGAGACGAAAATTCTAATACGAAAAAGTCGAGGCTATAATAGTTTTCAAATGGGAACAGTTTAAACATCTCGAATAGCAAAGCTAGAATTTGGTGGCCCTGCGCCAAAGTCGCCGGACGTGCCGTCGTCCAAGTTGTCCACTGTACCACCGCGTGTGAATTAAAGTGCTTTTGACCCAGACTGTGCCTTATTGCTACCGGCTCAGAGATTCCGTCCTCCTCCGCTGTCATCCTGACATTCCCTTTCCCCCCGCCGTCTCCGTTAACCTCGCGGTTGGACCGGCGCTCCCTCACACCGGTCGTCAAGCGCGACGTCACAGACCGGGCCTCGCGACTCGCGACTCGCGACGTGTCGTACCGCGTCGCGCCGTGTCGCTGGTATCGCTAA